AAACACACAACCATTCCGATAAGAATAGAGTTTTAGTAGAGAAGATTGGAAAATACATACTGTTAATCAAAATCATTAATTTTGTTACTAATTCAAGGTAAAGAAAATGGAAGTCTGGTGTTACGCATAGAAAAACATTTCAATTTTTTGTCAAATAGAACATTGCTTTATATTTCATTGCTTTATTGGATATTCCATTTTGAAGGAACCGAAGAATATATATGAATATCTGCATTCTTGATGATAATTTGAGGTGACTGAAGATACTATCCTGAGGTCACACAGACTACTAGGAAATGAAGAAGAGACTTATGCAACACTGGGTACCTACCATGTATTTTCTCTGTTCTTTGTCTTATTTAATCTACCTTACAATTCAACACAATTTTAGACTCCTTTCCTTAGCAACTAACCAAAGGTAAGTTTGACCCAAAAGGTCTCAGAACCTAAAATGTCACTTTGTTTTGATCCAAGGATTACAATCTCCTCCAAGAATGTGTTAGGAATGTCCAGCTACCAGTCAGGAAGGATTGCCTTAGGGTGTTTTAATTTAGGAATGTCCAGCCACCAGTCAGGAACGATTGCCTTAGGGTGTTTTAATTTAGATGTTGGTGAGAATTTTAAAAGGCATTAACTACAATTTAATTTCTGAGAGCAATAATTCCTGAGAGTAATATGCGTTGGTAGGGATATCTGCTTTACATCTGGTTAAATTTTAAAGCTTTGGAGGACATGATGTACACAGGAGGGACAGGACATTTTCCCGATAGTTTGAGAAATGTCTCACTTAGCATCCCCTGTGGACCTGGTGCTTTTATGCCATGTTCCAAAAGAAATTAGATAATGATTTTATGATTGATAGTAACTCAGGAAAGCCAATCAGTCACCCAGGATCACTTCTACAAAATAATAGGAACATTTTCTTGAGAGTTCCAGACATTTTGCCCTTGAAGAAGACACTGCAGGAAACTTTAGAGTAACAACAATGTTAAAATAAAATTTGTAGACAGATATTCTGAAAAGAATACATAAGAATTCTTTCAAATATATCCGAATTTGGTGTAAGACTGTTCTAAAGCTTCATTTACATTTATATCTCCAAATATTATCTGATTAGGTTTTAATAAAATATATTAAACTAAAATAAAAATTTATTTGTTACAGAATCACATATACGGTCAGTATCTGAAAAAACTTCTTAAAATTAACTAGCAAGAGATTAATAATAAAGGGAATTTAAATGACACAACGTCTTCTAAAGAGCTGTTGCTCAGAAATGGGCCATTTACTTAAAAAATGCCACTAAAATTTATAAGTTCAGAAGCCTCAATTAAGGATACAATTTGATCTCTGAATCAACAGCTCAAAACCACCCCCACATCATTATCGATAAAAATGTTAATATTATTTTCAACACAAACACTGACAAGCACTCTGATGCTAACAATATGCAGTGAGGAGACTATATGCTCCTGATGGGAAAATCGCTAAAAATAGTCACAATCTGGAGCTTTTTCTTTCATGATGTCAGAAAAAATAAATAAAGGAAAAGATGTCAATTTACTTTGCTTTGGAGACTCTGAATATGTTTTGACACAACAAAAATTAGACATCTACTGTAAGAACTGGTCCTTGAATTGACAGAGAATCTGTCACCAACAGAACGAATCGATTCCACATGCCTGTGATTTCAAGAAGGCAGTTGAAAACCCATCCTAAATGAAGTGATGGATAGAGATCTGCTCTGAAAAATCACACCCTGATTCATATAAAAATATCTGTTGTATTTTTATCTTTCTAAAGAAATTTGCCTTTGGCAATCATTTTATGTGAATATTTCAAGAGTCTATCAACTTGTCTGAGCTACTTTTGGGGTCTAAAATATTTTGTCTTATTCCACAAGGCATTATGACTCATGAACAATGTTAGCTTTATCCAGTTATTCTGAGATATGGTTTGAATATTCACAATTTAAAAATACTCTGTAAATAATAAAACATTTTATAGAACAACTTTACCTTCACTACTGTTAAGACTAACAAGTGGAAGGTAGATTTGTCCATGCTTTCTTCAAAACAGAAACATAAAATGCTACCTACTATTAGAATTTAATTCCCGTATTGCAAAAGGCCTGCTCTTTGACACAACATTTTAGACATTTAAAAAAAATGTTTAAAAATTTGAGAGTGTGGGGCTGAGAGTGTAGCGCGGTGGTAAATACCTGCCTAGTACACTCACGGGCCTGAGTTCCATTCTTAGCCCCAGAACAGACAACTTTTTTAGGATGTATATCAGCTGAACTCTTACAGTGAGAACCAAACTTTCATGCTACATGGGCCCAAACCTAGAACTTGAATTATTCTCCGAAATAATCATTTGTTCATTCATTCAGCAAATCTTCATGGTGCGCCTGCCATGTGTCAGATGTTGCCAGAGGCACTGGGTCTGCATTGGGTTTGGTCCTGACAAGGAGCTGAGGAAGTCACGCAAGACAGGTGTTGTGGGAGATCTCCCGAAGGCAGCACTTTAGAAAGAAAACATGTTTTCCGATGATGTCGTGTGCTAAGCCCACAGTGGGAGAATTGCTGAGTACACGATGGTACAGCAGCCTTGCCTTCCCCATGGTTTTCCTTTACACAGTTTCTGTTGCCTGCAGTCAGACTCAGTCCAACAACAGAAATGGAATATTTGGGAAACAACAATCTGAATTTGAACTGATCTTCGGTCCTAAGCAGCTACTGAAATTGTGTGGTAGCCTGTCCTGCTCGCTCTTTGTGACGTATCCCTGCCGCTAGTCACTTAGCAGCCATTTCAGTCATCGGACTGACTTTGGCAAACAAGCTTGTGTTCAAGGAATGCTTATTTTACTTAATAAAGCCCCCAACGCGGAAGAAGAATGGTGTGAAGGTGGCATTGGGCCATAAAATACAGACAGGCACATTAACTCTGGTGCTGACTGGCAATGCTGCAGGGCGTGTTGGAAAAAAGAGTAGAGGGGTGCCTCCATTCACGAACTTAATTTGTTTCACAATTTGGGGGAAGATGGCTGCAGTTGCGTTTGTGTGGGGAAGATGGCCGCAGTTGTGTTTGTCACCCAATACGGATGTGCAGTTTGTAGAAGAGTTTTATTTGAGAACCGAATTGTTTATAAGCAGAACCATTCATGAACCGAGGCATTATTGTACATGCAGGGTTTGGTATGATCTAGGGGTTGGGGGTGCCCTGGGGTCTTGGGACGTGCCCCAAAGGATAAAGGTGAGACTGCTGTGTAAAGGAAAGGGCTTAAATCAGATCCAGAGGAGGCCACCAGCAGCCAAGACTCCCCAGAGAAAGGCACTTTCACACTACAGCTGCAGGGCTATGCTCTTCTTCTCTTCCTCTAAGAAGATGTTATTGAAAGATTTAAAAAAATAGAGCAAGAAAATACTACCTTCATTTTAGAAAACACACACACACACACACACACACACACACACACGCACGCACGCACACATGAAACAGGATTTTTGTTTTCAAGAGTAAGACCAGAAACTGGAAAGATTTTTTGGAGAAAACCAAGTGAAATAAGATGACATCAGCATAGTGGCAGTGATGGCGCAGTGACCTGATTTCAGGGTTCTTGCTTCCTTTTTGGATGCTGAAATGGCCAATCCTAGCTACATCAGTCAACCTGAGCTTGTGGAGTCAGTGAGAGATGTTAGGAGCAGAACAGGGAGAGGAAGAAAGGCCTGAAAGAGCACTGGTAAACAGCAGCCAGGAGAAAAACAAATGTGGTGTCATTTTAGCCAATTAAGAGGTATTTTTTTTAAGGTAATGTCTTAGAAGCATGGGCAGTGCTGTTGGTGGCTCACATGTCATTGTTACACTGTGTATCCTGTGATGTAGTCTGGGTCCAACACAGATAAATGGGCACATTTGCTAAATAATTACCGCTACACACAAGGAAAGGACTGGATGCTGAGTACTGGGATGATGTACGACAAACCTACCTCCCACCTTTGGGAACAGCAATAGGAGAAAGACATACGTAGTTATCTATAATGTGTAGTGGCTAACAAAAGAGCTCAATAGAGCTTGAGAAGAATAAAGATCCAAGTAGAATGTAAAGAGAGTAAAGAAAAAAGTGATTATTTCTAACTGTGACAAGAGTAAGGGTAAGTGAGAAGACTGAAAAGTGATTACTGAAAATTTCAAGTGGTCAAGTAAGAATTGTTTCAGAATTGGCAAATATAGGAGTAGCCACTTTAATTGTGTTCATGTCTTGTAGGCAGTCTATAAATTATCACAGGGCCACTCATGCATATGGTACAGAAAATCAATGAGTGGGACTCATGTCTGTCAAATAAAGTGACCTCATAGAATTGAGCTTTTTGTTTTCGCCACAGAAAACATTAACAAATGCATGCATACTTAAAAGTGCTCCACAAATAAGTACATTTCAGGAAGACTACTTTTAAAAGCATTTACTGGAACCTTACTTCATTTAAAAATTATAAATAGACACTGCAGAATCTATACTTTCCTTCTATAAGCAACTCTCCTATGAGAGTGTAGTCAAATTGCTCTATTGCTTAGCAACCACAGGTAAAGAGCTAATAAGTCAGGAGTCATGATGCTATGAGACTATTTGCAGTTCAGGGGCAGGATTTCCATATCCTTTGGATTCCTGCTCGCACACTTTCAAAACCAGTATTAACACAAAGAGTTAGAACAGATGAGAGTTAAAATGCAAATGCTCTCACAATCAGCTAATCTATACATAGTGATCTGGTGCAATCTGCTATGTCAACCTGCCAGTTGTATCTCTAAATCAACATCGGAGTAACAACAGCCCAAGGACACAGCTTCAGAAGCATTTCTGCTTTAGCCATTGAGGTACGCCAAAGACAAAGATACACTTAAAGTAAGTGCATGTAATGACTCAGATATTCATGGAAGCAACAGGAAATTCTGGAAGGAAGAGGACTGGTGGGTGGTAAAATGGTATTGGAAATTTTTACCTGCAACCACTGGGACTGGTCGTTGTGGCCGGAGGTCCAAGCATTCACCTTGCCTTGCTTGTCCAGCCGGGCCTTCCTTGGTTCCCAGGTGAACATGTCCATGTTGAGCGTCCTGAAGACACTGGAGGCAGTGATCTGATAGTCTTGTATGTGTCCTGACTTCATTCCCAGGGGCTCTGAGCAGCCTGAGGGGAGATGCAAAAAGCTCCATGAGAAAAGCAATTTGTCATCCCGGAAATTTCCTATGTTCATTTAGGATAAGCAAGAGAAGATTAAATCTAATGCTCTCCATCCCCGCAAGGAGACAGCATCTAAATCCCAAAGAAAGGGCTGTAATCAGAAAGAAATCTGGAACAGAACAGAAAAAACAAGATAGCCAATTCAGGCTGCCTTGTCTGATTCTATTTTGGAAAACATGAAAACAAGACAATTCAAACTACTTTTCTGTGATAGATGTTTTTGCAAAATGAAAACCATACTGAAAAACTCCCGTCTCATCACAGGAAGCCTCATAGCCACTCCTTGGTTTTCAACAGTTTCATTGTGTCTTTTAAAAATGGGACATTTTCTCATAAAGCCTATTTGGTTTTTAAAATTTGTTTTCATAATACTGCAAATGAAAATTCCCTCAGTACGAAGCCATCTTCACAAATTGCTCTTCTGTTATATTCTAAACTGGACAGCACTTTGTTGCCTAAGAAATATGTGTTAATCTTTATCCTCAGGTCTGACTGCACCGACATGGTTGCTTGGGGAAGCAGGGAAATAGAATTCACTCAGTGCAGAGCACGTGGCAGGCTTTGTGCACATACAAAATGTAAACAAGTGGGCAACAGGGGAAAAACAAATTCTGGCAAAAACCATCACTAGACAAATTTTTTAATGCTTTTTAAAATTTTAATCATAGTTGTAACCCTTTGTGTTTGAATATTCTTGAAAGATTCTCAAATCTACCACATATATTTTCAAGCTTGATATGGTGCAAAATCTGAGTTTGCATGTCGTTGAAAATGGGTGTACAGACACGCGCGTGGCCACACACACACACCATATATACAATTCCATTTACAAACTTTGTAATAGGAAGCCTGGTTCTATTATGTTAACCAAGGACTGAGTCTTCCTTCTACAAATATCATTACATTTTGGCCAAGAAGCTCACAAGGTAGGAGGGTAAATTCGGTCATGAAAGAAGCAGAGATTAAAGAGTGGATTTCTGCGACTTGATACTTCGCCTATTTCATTGGGTCCCCTCCAGCAGGATGTGTGGTCTTATACCTATTACTTTTGCCTGAGCTTTCTCTTCTGTAAAATAGTGATGATAGTAAAAAAATACCTCAAAGAAATGTTCTAGGGAATGACTGAGGGGATCAAGAGATGAAGGGATGGGTGAAGGGAGGGGATGGGAAGGGGCTGAAGAAATAATCAGGCTGTCTTGTACACGTGCATCAACTCCCCAAGATGAATGTAATCACTATGTACTGCAAACATGGGCTAATAAAAAAGACTGCCAAATATTGATGAAAAAACTAAGGAAGACACAAATAAATGGGAAGATATCCTCTGTTAAACATTACTTCATGAAGTACTTTAAAACATTCCCGGCACAGTTAGCAACCAGGAGGTTTTAGACAGTTTTCTTATTTCATAAAAGCCCCTGCAACAGGAAGCAGTGTTAAAGTCACTGAGCATCAGCGTATCAGCATGAACCCAGGGGCATCCTATGATGGGCTCTATGTGCTCAAAGAGGACCCATTTAAGTCGAGGTTGTAAGACAGGCTGTCCAGAACTCTTCACTTATAATTCCTAACTGTGGCTTATCACTGCTGTTCTGGTCCATCATTTCTTCTGTCTTGAGGCAAGTCCGTGTTTGTCTTCACCCTCTCCGCATGGGACGCTTATCTTGTGCAAATGTGACAGAAGATGTCAGGGAGGGTTGCTCTTTTCACAGGTTTTCCTGGGAAGATACACCTGCTAAACCATGATAAAGAAGCTCTGGGGCTCAATGTACAGTCAGAGTGAGAAAGCAGCCAATCCCGCCTCAAGGGCTGCAGATTGTGCTCACAGGGGCCGTGGGCTGCTGCTCATCTCTGGGCGGCTCCAAGGTAACAGCTTTGTCTGCCTTAGAGATCTCACTTGTCCCTCCCGTCCCGTCCTCCTGCTCTCTTCTCACTGTCCCCCAAATCTTTCTATAACTTTGCTTAGTTTGTGGAAGAGATTTAAGAAAAACAAAGGCAGTCATTCTTTTCCTTCTGTAACATAATACAATATTGGACAGAAGAATGCTCTGAACCATTCCTGCTTTATCATAAAGTTTATTTCATACCCATTCTATTGTTCAATGCTAGGAAGAAATATTAATAATTATTTGTTCAAAGAATGAGGGAATGAGTTTTACTGTTCTAATTATGGTTTTGTTCTGTTTCATTCAAAACATCATAAGTTGTGTCTCTTTTAGAGAATTTAAAAATGCTCTTTCTGAGCGTCTGGGAAGAGATCAACCAGTGATCTTCGAGGAAGGCTAAAAATTCTCATGTCAGTTCCTTGAAAACTGTAACGAATCTTGGACTTTAAAATGTTGTAGTCAGGAAATAGTTTGGAAGATTTTCACTATTTCCAGTGTTACAGCTAACTTTCCTTGTGCCTCACATTTCAAATTTCCCTTCTCATCCACACTGTTTCAAGCATTTAAATTAATTAACTCTTTCACCAGTGTGGACAGCACCTGAACAAAATGAAGTACCAAGACCTAAACTGATTATTTCTATAGTGAAATTCTCTAGCTTCTAGAAACAACCATAGGGAAATATTCTCTGCACGTAAGTTGAAAATCAATTTGCAGGGTTGGGAGATGCAGCACTGCTTCTTTTCTTGAAGATAAAATCTGTAAATTGCCAGGTGTAACCTCTTGTCAAACTCAAGAGGAACATATATTTACACCTTAGGGGTGTAGCTGCACCACGGAGGAGAGACTGATGCTCATGAATCAAAAGACTGAGAAATTAGGGACGGTGATGTAAAGCAACTAAAACCACAGGGCTTACAGCAGTTCTTGCCACAGTGAGGCTTCCTCGAGATTACTTTATGACGAATAGCTTCAGGAGGACAGTGGCCTACAGTGACACAGTGACACGCAGTGTAATCGCTGTACAGTGATAATTCTTCTCAGATCCACTCACAATCAATAAACTGGTTCACATGACCAAAACAGGGCTAAGCTCTCTGCATAATGCATACCACTAACACTGTGTGCGTTTGCTTCCTAAGGCTTTCCACTGTAGAATGAAAATGTGCTTCTTAAAAACACTCACAGATCTGACCAAATCACTATAACTTCTTTGAGTGGGTTCACTAAGGTTGATTATTTTTAATACTGCTTCTTTACTTAAATATCTTTCTTTTTCTAAGTATCACAAGTAAGTTGAAGGAGGAAATCAGACTTTAACCTGTGAATCCCTAAACTCCCAGAGGTCACTTTGCAAGAACCTCACCTATTTAAAAGGGATTGTTTTGTGTTTAGTAAAGGTTTATCCATATTTTAAGGTTATGCTAAAAAAAAAAAAAGGTGTGTGCACATGAAATTTCTGTTTTCTCCACAGTCGTTTGAATAAAATAACCTTGGGTCTTTGTGACAATAATAGGTAAAACTTGACGCCAGGAATATAAGAAGTACCAAAAATATAAGTCAGTGTGAAACACTTAGAGAAAATTTTCTGTTTAGTTCAGAATGAAATGGGACTGCTGTGAGATCTACTCATTGCATCTTCATCTTTGTAGCTGGAATTGATGCTCCTGGAGGAGAAGAATTATTTAACTTGGAGTCCTCTGATAGATTATCCTCAAGCTGGGTAACTACTATTTGTACAACAAGCAGGTTTCTAGCTAAGAATGAGCCAAGAATGAATTATGGTAGCAATCTTGGTACTGAAATATTGTTCCCTAGGGAGGGATGATGAATATGCATGTCTAAAAAGTCCAAAAGGAAGTATCCAGTTCTTACAGGAGACAGATAAAGACACAGCTTGCTTTTCTGGATCTGATAGCCTAAATGTAGGAGGTGGGGTCAGCAGATTCCAGTCTTTACTGCCCTTCTGTCAAAACACGTGATAAATCATAGATACCACCCCAAACAGGGAGACACATCTAACGTTGATGAGCTTCTCCTGGGAATTCCTCGCACTGACGCTGACCACCCAATAAAACACATTACTCTTTCTAAATAAATTCTATCCTGTAGCATGTTTTACTACTTGTTTGCTCTACACATAAGCAACAGCGCACTATTTCTCACCAAACTACTCTAGACATTGTGCAGCAGAACTGAATTTCTACAGGTGTTGGAAAGCTGCAGGTTAGGGGCAAACTACAGACAAGCATGCTTCTGATTTTCTTTAAAAGACCATGTGGAGATAGGTAATATGAGGCTCACCTGATAGCTCACAGCCAAGCAGTTCCATTCGCAAGGTGCAGTGCCTCCGGCACACTTGGGGATAGAGCCTCACGTACTGAGCTTTGATGGGCGGTGTGAAGGAGTTAGCATAGGGTGTGTTGTTGTCAACATTTCCACGGAACACCTGCGTCAAGACATAATCCAGAGCTCTGCATTATGATTTAGAATAGCGTCTTTAATTTCTTCACACACTAACCCTATATCTTATTCCATAATGCTTTAAAGATCACATTACATTTGGGGGCCTGGAATATTTAGGAAGGACTTTGCCATTACCAGTGGACAGAAACCCCATGGATAAAATCCTAATTAAAGCTAGAAGCACTGTGGCCTATGGCATATTCTATACTTCCTTATGATGGCCTTATTGATTCTGCAGCCAACTGCCTGGGGAATACTTTTCTGTTATTTGGAGAAAGGAGGACCTTAAATCTGCCAATTTAATATTTAACATCAGATAAAATTTAATATCAGCTTCGTTATTTTGCAACTCAATACTTTGACTTTTATTTTGGTAGAAAAAAATTTTCACTGCTGCTTCCTGGACACTCTGTGTTTCTACTAATATGATAAAATTTATAACACCTTGGGGTCTGACTGTCAACATTAGGTCTTCACCAATCAGACCTACATGACTGGATGAGACTTACAATCCTTATATTTATTATCCAGTGAAACATTACGTTTCTTTCCTAAAAAACAAGGACTAAAATGTGTCAAGTTTAATTCCTTTAAATCTCATTGTTATTTTACCTTTTATGTAACTTAGTAAACAGAAAATCTTATTTAAATGTACTTCAGAGGATAATTTTGAAAATCTTTCATGAAGTTTCTTATGTTTCATTTTGCATGGGATGATCTGTAGTCATGATATTTTTTAAAATTAACATTTATTAGAAGGCTTAATTTTAGAAATCTGAACGTCGTAAGAAAAAGGGAAGGAGATACTGCATATTATACCCATTTCTTCTAAAGTATATTTTCTGATAAATGAGTTTTCCAACATGAAGCATATAAAATATATAAATTTCTATCACTTGGTGCTTTTCTCGTTTTGAGCAGTAGTTATTCAGTGAAACAGGGTACTAAGCATATGTAAGCAAGGAGGGTGCAAATGCAAGCTGACTGCTGTTAATGTAAAGTCCAATTGTCCCGCATGAAGACTCTGCTTCCTTTTTGGTACAGGGGATTGAACTCAGGACCTTGCACTTGTGAGGCAGGCAGTGGCACCACGGAGCTAAATCCCTGGCCCAAGACTCTGCTACTTTATGACAAAGTATTTGTAGGGACATCTATTAAAGTTCTAGAAAATCTTGAATGGTGCTGTTATAAATTTTTCCCTACTGCCTTCATCCCAGTAGCCCAATTTTAAGAGAAGAGGGAAGCACCAGAAATGCGTGTTCCACCCTGGGCTTTTCCCAAAGGCCCTGCTGTCCTGCGCGGAGCCACGGCCACCCAGTGAGGCAGCTTTTCCCTAGGGCACGTGGGGAGCCTCACCCTGTCTTCCTTGGTCCCTTTCGCTTTGTAAACGGTCCATGTCTTCCCGTCGTTGCTGTGGGCGATTTTGTAGGATTTTATATACTCTGGGCTCCCAATCCTCTTCGCTCCTTGAGTAATCACACCAGTCACTCGCATTTTCCTTTGTAAATTTATCTGAAGAGACAAAACACGATCAACAACAATAATCATTCCAGCATACGAATATGGGCACAGTGTCCATTTGGGGAATGGAATATTTTTATTTATCAGTATAGATTTTAGGTAATACAAAAAGCTAATCATTACTCTGTGTTCTGTTTTCAGAACAATGTATCAGACAGGCACACATTAACTTCCAAACCTTTACAATGGAGTACTTTTTTTGAGATAAAAGCAATGCTTGTAAACAAGCTTTGAACAGTGCACTGAGTCCTCTCAGGTAGAAGTATAGACTGAATTTGGTTGATGAAGCAGGTATAACTTGGTAAACTAAAAACCTTAGTACACCAATAAATGGGGGCATTCTTAATATAAAATCTCAGTGTCACTGCTATGAAATTTTAATGTCCATGTAATTGTTGATGGGTCTCAACAGATTTAGGCGTCAAGAAATTTCCACTTCAAATAAAATACAAAAATCTCGCTAAGTTCTTTGAACACTGGAATGAGAAGTGGTAAAGGCAGTAAGGACAAAAAACTAAAAATAGTGTCTTTGGCCCCTAGATGTTTGCTCTGTAACCTCTGCTGTGGTTTGTGGTGATGCTCATGGAGGACTCTTACTGTTTCACCAGATAGTTACCTTTCTCTGCACTGCATCCCTTGGAGACTGTCTAGCTAGGATCTCCTCCCTGTATTTTTGATCCAAATCAATTTATGACAACTCCCCAGAGCAGTCATAGACATCTGATAAAATTTTAAATATTTTCTCAAATTTAGGAATCTCTTTCTGACACATATAATGATTAAAATAAATGTTGCAATGTAAAAGCTATTTATTCATAGAATCAACACCTAAATCTGTTTCATTCACTTTAAAATGCCTTGATGGTGTCCATATGCAAACAGTACCGAGGCGCCATTTCAGTGTCCTTGCTAAGCTGCGGTAATGCATCCTTCTTCAGCAACAGGAATCAGAAAGACAAATGTCTCACGTGTACCACTACCTTTATCATTCAGAGACTATTTTTCAGAGAAAGGCAGACCCCTGTGGCTAGTAAGGGACTAGGTTTTCCACTCTGGGGTGGACCGAGACAGTCCACATTTGAAATTGTAGAGGATGGGCATGAGGAAACCCGCCACTTAGGATCAAGCTCTGAGGCTCAGAATCTCATCATCTTTCCTCCCTATGCTGCTTGAGTTTTTCCCCCACTGCTGCTCCCGGGTGGTCTTGGGTCTTACTTGCGTGTAAGGACAGCCTGAGATTTGATGCATAAGTTACTGAGGAGTGGTCCCTGGCCTCCAGCAGCTCAGCACAGCACCCCTACTCTTTCCCTTGTCCTAAAATTCTGGGTTGATGGTCAACTTTTTCTCCAACAATGTGGGTAGACTGACCAAGATACTCAATGTCCACATTCTCATTTCATGCTCAGGCGCCAGCATACTTAGGGAGAGGAATACAGTTCTCTTTTGGAGGCTTAAAAAGAGACTATCTGCCATGGACGTAAATCTTCCTTACTTAATATTTGTCTATATTTATCTTACCTAATGCTCTAATGACTAATTTTAGAGTCCTCAGTATGGATCAGGGAGCTTTTGAAAGATATTATATTATTTAGGTAAATCAGCGCACTGCTGTGGAAAAACAACATCTTTTAAGAAGCCTATGTGTGGCATTGTTTTTTAAAAATCTGAGACTCTTCAGAGCCTAAACCTTCCCAATACATACAAAATAAACAAGGGACAGCTTGAATCACATTTTCTCCTGGTTTGGAAGCCAAATTCCACATTTCAGCGCATTCCTTTTTCAATTATCTTTTATCTCATTTCCATTATCTTGTTTATATCTCTTGTAGACAGCCAAATTATCTTTGCTAGAATTTTGGCTGATGAGCTATACAGTGATTTTCTAAAGCTTAAAGTAAGCACCTATAACAGAAAACAAAATCTGAGTTTATGTTTTTCTCTGAGTCATTAGAAATTATGTCTTAAGAAGAGTCATATTTGCTCTCATATTTAGAAGTCCTGAATGCACAGAACTCGAGGTAGTAAGCAGTCACCCAACTTGAGTTGCCTCTGCTTCTATTATATATTTTTAATTGAATATCACTGTTTTCATTAACTGCAAAATAAAAACAAAAATGACTTACAGAATACAGATTCTCAGGTCCCTAAGTTTTGGTAATTAGTAGGGTTCAGAGTTTTGATTTCTCATGTATCTGGCATGATTAAGCTTAGATAATAAGAGATTCACCATAAAAAGGTTAAGATGTTACCTTCAAGATTATACTCAGATTTAATACCAGAAATCTAAGCTGCTGTGAAAAATGAGCTATAGCTCAGAGGAAGGCAACAGCACAATTGTAGAAACTACTCCACAGTAAGCACCTGCAAGCATTCCCCAACCACGCGATTCCAACGTTACTTTTGATCTCTTATAAAACCATGGCTAAAGGTGATCTTAGGTGTCTTCTGCCTGTCTGAATCACACTAGTCACTGTGCTAAGGGTCTACTGGAAATTGCATCGGAAATTCCTAAATTACTCTGGGAGCTTGATGGGTGGTTGGATATGAAATGACATGTTTTCATTTAGGTTTTGTATTCTAAAGAAATTATTATTCCACTAGGTGGTAGCTATATTCTAATTTTTGAAAGCAAAAAATCACACTGGAAGAGTTTTGAGTGAGTTGTGCACCCTGACGGACATGGACATAAAGAAAAGTTGTGCAGATTTGTCCTCCCTAGACCTCAGCTGAGGAGAGAGTGGAAAAGACTGTGAGGTTTCGGGCTTGGTCCCCTCACTTCCTCTCCTACACTATTTGGCCAATTTGGTGAAGCATTTTGAAGGCTAATTTCCTCTCTTGTAACAAGAGGTTTTAATAAAATGATTATATGTGAAATTTATATGATATGTATATGTGAAAATTTTAACAATATCTGCCTCCTAGAAAATCCTTAAAATGTTTGATTTTGTAGTGTTTTGTTTGTTTGTGTTTAGGTAATAAGGAGCATTTTTTTCCCTTTGTTCTGTGCTTAGGCACTTAATATTAAGGAGGTTGGATTTGGAGAGGTGTATTTATAAAGGGTGATTACCATAATAACCATATGAAGACAACTTTGTAAACAACTTCCAAAGCTATATGCTAATAAGGCATTTAGAGCTTCAGTAATTAAGTCTGTGTGTATAAATCTAACCATTAGCTTCAGAATGCTGAGAAGAAGAGAGAACTAATGGGTCCTTGAGAAGGTAGTAAGCAGCCTGGGCCACTGGCCCCATTGCCGGTATCTAACACTGAGCTACTCCACTGCAAAAAGCTGCCAAGAAGGCTCTGAGATTTATTAAACTCTAGCATGCACACACACACACACACAATAATAATAATAATAATAATAATAATAATAATAACAATAATAACAACACCAACTACAGGAACAACCAACGTGAAGGGGATTTGCAGATCCTAGTGCGTGTTTGTGAGTCTGGGGAGTGTAGCAGGGATCTCCCAGGGCTGATGCTTCTGGCTGTGGCAATTCTCATTCTCACTTCTCCTGCCCGGCTCAGGGCCAGCAAAGGAAGCAGTGGAAGAGTGCCAGTCCAGGCTGCAATGGGAGGCTACAGTCGCTAGCAGATTGAAAGCTCCACTGTGTGTGCTCCCCTCCCTCACTGGAGGGCTCAAGAGGCGAAACCACGGAGGAGGCTCTGGCAAAAGGAGGGTCTTGCAGAGAGGACAGAAGGTGGGATTTAGCTTGGATTTGAGTCCCTGCAGGTGGTGCCCTCTGAACCCCAACTCAACCACCTGGAGTAGCTCAAGCCACGGCTTGGCTTTCATCCTTTGCTCTAGGTACACCACTAGGCCCAGCAAATGCCCCGAGAAACTGAAACACCACTGTCAAAAGAAAAGAAAGCTGAGGACTAATACTAAACAAACAACCAAACAAAAACTAATCTAATAGAACTAGCATGTTAAGACTTTTAATAAAGAAACTAGAAAAATATGGAGATTTTAAAAAACAACAAGAACAAGTACATAAATAAGAAGCTGGAGGTACTGGTATGAAACATGTAATTGTGTAAATACAGTTCACAGTGGGGTGGTTTTAACTGCAAAGAGACAGAGCTTCAGAATAAACCAGTGAGCAACAAGACAGCTCTGTAACACTTTCCAGAAGGCAGGACGATGGGGTAGAGAGATGGCCCACGCTGGAAGACGATATAACAGTCCACACTGACAATTAAGGAGAAGCACAAATGGTGAAAACTAATTAAAAGGTTTTCTGCAGCTTTGCTTAATATACGATCAGCTTAAAATTAACGTATGTATGCCAGCAATTATCAACTAAGAAATGATATAAATAATTAAAACAGTGTGAAAAGGGAACATGCAGAGACAGATAAATAGGACAGGATAGGGCACCACCTAGCAGGTTCTGCTATGTAAATAATTTTGCATATCAAATAAATGATATTTAAGTCAGGGAGAAGAGAAATAACTGAGTTAAGATAATTTGCTAGAAATCTTAGGTAAAATTTAGATCCATATCTGTTTCCTTATCCCAGATTACATTCCCAATAAATTAAACACTTAAATGATAAAAAAGAACCTAATACATCATTAAAGAATTAAAAATAACGTCAGAGATGGAAACAGCTTTCTCTTGACAACACAAGTTTTTAAAGTGTTATTACACTGAACAAAAATTTTCTTCCTCATAAAAAACAAAATGAATCCAAAATACAAATGAGAAATGGAGAAATTCATCTTTTACAAAACATATCACAGCAAAGTACTGATTAACCAAAGAAGTTAGAGGATCTTCTTCATTGATAGTTAAAGTACAAATACCCAATGAAAATGTACAGTGGATTTTGTTAGTTGGTATGAAATGAAGTACATATGGATTTAAACTTATGAAAAAATCCTCTATCTCATTTATAGCAATAATAAAATTAAATATGCCCAGTTACCATAATTCATCTATCAGTAGCAAAAATCAAAAAGTTTGGTTACACAGGGCT